CGCATGCCCACAGAGAGGGCTCTGAGTGCCGCCTCTGGCACCTGTGCCATAGGTTCGCCACCACTGGTCTATGGAGATTCTCAGTCATCTAGATCATAGTTATCCCAAAAGGTGCTTTTTCAAGAGACAACTGGACTTTCTTGTTTTTCTTTGAAGACGTTTCGCTTCTTATCCAAGAAGCTTCTTCAGCTCTGACTAGATGGTGGGGAAGGGAAGGATTTATACTCCTTGCAGACAGCTGGTCATTTGCATTCTTTTAGGGAGTCCTTGAGGACATAGGTAAACCTCCAAGTGGCCTCAGTGACTCTAAAAGAAGGCAAATGACCAGCTGTCTGCAAGGAGTATAAATCCTTCCATTCCCCACGATCTAGTCAGAGCTGAAGAAGCTTATTGGATGAGAAGCGAAATGTCTTCAAAGACAAACAAGAAAGCCCAGTTGCCTCATGAAAAATCAACTTTGAGATAATCATGGCATTTGCAGTATTTGCTTTACAATATCGTCATGTACTAGTTATTATTCGGATGTCATTGCAATGGGTACCGGATGCTTGCTATCCAGCTTCTAGAAATTTCTATCTCTACTTTCCGGAGAGTAAGGCAATACAGGCCGTCCTCAACTTATGACTGCAATTTGAGGCCAGAATGGCTGTTGTTAAGCAAGACAGTTGTTAAGTGAGATTTGCCCCATTTTACGATATTTGTTTTGCCGCAGTTGTTAAAAATGAATCACTGTAGTTGTTAAGTTAGCAGCAGAGTTGTTCAGTGGGTCTAACCTCCCCGTGGACTTGACAAAAGGTTGCAAAAAGCGATCATGTGACTCCAGGACACAGCAGCCGTCGTAAATATGAGCCAATGGCCAAGTGTCTGAATTTTGATCATGTGACCGTGGGGATGGTGCAACAGCCGTAAGTCTGAAAAATGACCATGTCATTTTTTTCAGGGCCGTTGTATCTTCGAATGGGCACTAAACAAATGGTTATAAATTGAGGACTACCTGTAGACTTTGGGGAGTGGTTCTATCATACCGTGAGCCATGGTGGCGCAGTGGTTAGAATGCAGTACTGCAGGCTACTTCTGCTGACTGCCGGCTGCCAGCAGTTCGATTCTCACTGGCTCAAGGTTGACTCAGCCTTCCATCCTTCCGAGGTCAGTAAAATGAGGACCCAGATTGTTGGGGGGCAATAGGCTGACTCTGTGAACTGCTTAGAGAGGACTGTAAAGCCCTGTGAAGCGGTATATAAGTCTAAGTGCTATTGCTATACAGGGTTTCCCCAAAAATAAGAGCCAACCAGAAAACAAGCCCTAGCATAGGGGTCTTCAAACTTGGCCCTTTTATGACTTGTGGACTTCAACTCCGAGAATTCCTCAGCCAGGCACACTGGCTGAGGAATTCTGGGAGTTGAAGTCCACAAGTAATATAAGCCCCACCCCCAAAATAAGCCTCAGGTAAGATTGTCAGCAAGATGGACACATCTAGTGCCATATTTTCCCGAATATAAGCCCTAAATGGAAAATAAGCCTTAATGCAGTGGTTCTCAACCTGTGGGTCGGGACCCCATTTGGGGTCGAACGACCATTTCACGGGGGTCGCCAAACAACGCAGTCCGCCATTTTTTTTCTCCTTTTCCTTAGCTGTACTACTCCCTTTTATTCTATTGGCTTTTGAAAGCCAATAGAATAGACTCTCTTGAATAGAGTCTAAGTTTATTGGCTTTCAATAGGAATTGTCCAGGCTGTCTCTGCCCTGCTGAGCCCACCAAAAGTCCCATTCTGCAAACGGTGCTGTACCAGTTGAGTAGTCCTCAATTTACAACCGGTTGAGTAGTCCTCGACTTACAATGGGTTGGGGGTCGCAGCATTAAAAAGGTTGAGAACCACTGCCTTAATGCATCTTTTGGAATAAGAATTAATATAAGACCCGGTTTTATTTTCGGGGAAACACGGTAGAATCATAGGGCTGAAAGGAACTTTGGAGGTCTTCTAGTCCAACCCTGCCCAAGGCAGGAGTCCTTATATCATCCCAGAGAAATGGTTGTTCAATCTGACTGAGAATTTCCACAGACATTTATGGAGAATGAATCTAAGCCCTCTTCCCTGCATCGGCCCTTCAGGTATTGAAAGACAGCTATCATGTCTCCCCAATCTTTCTCTTCATTAGGCTAAAGATAGTTCCTTTGGCTGTTCATTTTACAATTTAGCCTCAAGAATTCTTATCATCTTTGTCGCTCTTCTCTGCATGCTTTCTATGACTTCAACGTCTTTCCAGTTCTAATTACTCAGTTTTTTGCGCAATCCACTGTGACACGGTCACCATTTCAAATTCAGTTCTAAAATCTCTCCAGGAGCCACAGTAATTGCAATCTGAGGGCTTATCAACTGCTGGAAATGTCACCTCATAAGCCTGGATTTAAATCCACATTGGCCAACCATGATGACTGAGACTTCTGGGTATTGTTGTGTTTAACAGGTAACAGCTTAAATAACAATTATGTAGAGATGTTGGAGGCGTATGTTGCACTAATGCAGTTTATCACACCATGTTTTTGGAGAAATCATAAGGGTCTGCTTCACACAAAATACTAAATTGTACAAACCATGGCTGTCTTCATACCAAACCACAATGAAATAAAGTGTTTTACAATTTGGCATGATAGAGAGCAGGCAGGCATTATCCACTTTGATAGCTCATTTTCCAGGATCCTACAGTGCCATCTAATGGCTAATGGCTAATTGATAATGCAAAAATGCATCATTATTATTATTGTGCTATATCTGTTATCTGATGTTGGCGATCACGTTGGCGATTCTGTTTTTATCAGCAACCGCATGAAAAAGTGCTGCTGAGTTTTGTCCAAGCCAGACCCTTAGATTTTGAAGCCATGATGTTCTTCTTCTGCCTGGACCTTATTTGCCTTCAATCTTTCCCTGGAGGATTAAATGAGTATGCCGTATTTTTCTAGGTATCGCATTACATGTCTGAAATATTCTAATTTTCATTTTTTAATTGTTTGGATGATTTCCCTTGGCTTTCCCAGGTGGATTACCACCTCCTCATTTCTGATCTTGTCAAGCCAGCTTATACGTAACAGCTGCCTGTAGATCCACATTTCAAATGCTTCTAGTCTCTTCAGGTGGCCTTCTGTCAGAGACCAACTCTCTACTCCATAGAGCAGGATGGAAAAAATATAAGATCTGACAACCCTGATTTTCAGTCTTAATGCATTATGCATTAATGCAAACCATGTTTCCTAAGAGCTGGAAGGGATCTTGGAGGTCTTCTATTTCAACCTCCTGCTCAAAGCAGGAGCCTTGAAAATATGTTTATTTAGCCCATAATTGTAAAGTAACATTGGGTGGTAGATACAATGGACTGTTCCTCATCTCTATTTTATAGGGTTTTTTAATTTAAAGATGTAGCCAATCATCAATAAAATGGAATGAATTAGCTTATTACTTAATAAGTAATAGCTAAGATAACAATATGTTTCCTTATCTAGAGCTAAAACAGATGCCTCCTTATTTATAGTAAACCATATGTCTTTATCTCTTGGTTAAAACAGATATCCCCTTAAACAAGCATTTTTTTTTTATTTACTTGAACACTGGGCCCTATCGAACAAAATGAAATTCAGTTTAAAGTAACGTTTTACACTGAGGCAGGAAAAGCCAAATGTATAGGTACATTTGTTAACAGCAGTGACTGAGAGGGATCTTGGAATCCTAGTGGACAATCACTTAAATATGAGCTAGCAGTGTGGAGTAGCAGCCAAAAAAACGAATGCAATCCTAGCTTGCATTAACAGAAGGATAGAATCAAGATCTTGTGAAGTGTTAGTACCACTTTATAAAGCCTTAGTAAGACTACATTTAGAATACTGCATCCAATTTTGGTCATCATATTATAAAAATGATGTAGAGATAATTAGGAGGCTGGAGGCTTAAACATATGAAGAACAGCTGCAGGAATTGGGTTTATCTAGTGAAAAGAAGGACTAGGAGTGACATGATACTAGTGTTTCAATATTTGTACAAAGAAGAGGGGGTCAACCTATTCTCCAAAGCACCCGAAAACAAGACAAAAAACAAGGGAGGGAAACTAATCAAGGAAAGAAGCAACTTAGAACTAAGGAAAAATTTCCTAACAGTGAGGACAATTAACCAGTGGAATGGCTTGCCTTCAGAAGCTGTGGCACTGGAGGCTTTTAAGAAAAGACTAAACAGCCATTTGTCTGGAATGGCATAGGTTTCCTGCCTGAGCAAGGGGTTGGACTAGATGACCTCCAAGTTCCCTTCTAACTCTTGTTATTCTGTTATATTATGGTAGTAAGTATTCTGTTATATTATGGATGTCTTCTTTTATATAAGTTTTGCTATATGAGGTGCTCATTTGTTTATAGTGGTTTTATAATTAGTTATTAGGTTTTTTTTCCTAATGGCTTTACAACTGTCCTTGGTGCTCTATGAACTTGGCTTTGTTGCTTGCAGATGTTTCATTACCAAATTAGGTAACATTATTGTTGCTAGTGGGTGTGACTTCCTGTTCATGTGCAGTAGCTTTCCCTGTCAGTGTTGGTTGAGTTGAGGTTTTCTCCTTCATAACTCCTAGATTAGGGTATTGTTTTCTGCTTAATTAGAAAATGTCTATTTTATATCTCTATGAAATGAGTCGCCACTAATAAATCTGTTTTTAAGGGCATTCACTGTGCCAAGGGAAACATGTTTGCATGATTTTTTTTCTCTCTCCAGGTTTTTAAATTTTGTAATGAATTGTTCCAAGTACCTTGAAGTTCCAAGCTGGTACTTTTAAGTTTCCCATAAAAGAAATAAGATACATTAAAGCTACTTTACCCAATCAGATGTATGAAAATACACCTCTTATCCCATCCTCTACGGCCAGGGCGGTTGAGAATTTTATTTGGTTAGTAGTTATAAGAGGCCCAGTGTGCATTTTTCGGTTGTAGCCTCACGCATCTGAAGAGGCAACACGGTGCCAAACGAGGCGCTAATATTAATTACTCGCGCCCTCAGATATCCTGAAAAATTCAAGCGTCGCCCAAATGGCAAGACTGAATCCTTAACTCTCCGGGACCACCACCCCCACCCCCGAAACCTCAAGGATCTCTGTGAGCAACAGGCAAAGGACGAACCGGCGAAGTTGGATTTGGCAGAAGCGAGAAGCCAAAGTGACATTCCACGTCCGCACTTCGATCGAGTCCTCCCACTTCCTAAACTTCACGTTTTGAGGCCCCGCACACGGACACGGCGCCTTTTTCTTCCGAAATTCAGCCTCCCGGGTTTGCAGAAGCAGCGCCATGTCCCTGAGCGTCCGCGACTACATCAGGAAAGTCCTTCGGGACTTGACGGACGACGAGTTCCGGACGTTCAAGGCGAACCTCCGCGACTACCAGGTCGGGCCGGGCTACGAAAACATCCCCCGAGGGGACCTGGAGAACGCGGACGCGCTCAAACTCAGCGACCTGCTGGTCAGATACTACTGCGAGGACTACGCCATGGAGGTGGCGTCCGCGGTGTTGATAGCCAGCAACTGCATGCCCCAGGCGCAGATGCTTCTCGGCCTCTAGAAAGGTAGCGCGCAGGAGCTGGGGCGGGTTTCGGCAGGGGAAAGAAGACTGGACGGTGTGTGTGTGTGTGTGTGTGTTCTCTAACCTAGCAAGCCCCGGATGGGTTGTGCCTCAGTTCCCAGCCCAAGCTCCTTGGAGTAGTCCAGGAGGACCATAGCAATAGCAATAGCACTTAGACTTATATACCGCTTCGTAGTGCTTTACAGCCCTCTCTCTAGTCTAAGCGGTTTACAGAGTCAGCATAATCTGGGTCCTCGTTTTACTGATCTTGGAAGGATGGATGTAGTAATCAGTGCTCAGTCATTGCAGGGTGCAAATATGGCTGACCGCCTTCGCAGAGTTTATTCTTTTTAAACTTTATAGCAAAAGTTTAACATGGCAATAGCATAGCAATAGCATTTCATTGGTTAAACTCCTTACCAATCCTTAAGGATAGAAAGCCAGAGGCCCAAAATGGTGCAGTTTGTTGCAACATCCTGTTGATGTAAGCTAGCTGATATCAGGCAGGTGAGGTCATTGTACCAGCCTGGGTATTTTCCCACATTGCCATGGTGATGTGAAGGGATGAGATAATGTAGAGAGAAGAGGCACACAGGCTTTGGAGGGGCAGTTTGCTGCTCACAACCTCTACCTGGCCCCTATTTCTACAGATGGAAGTGTAGCGTTACCCCCTTAGAGGTCACCAAAGCCCAAGCCAGGGATAAGCAACCTTGGCTCTTTTATGACTCGTGGACTTCAACTCCCAGAATTCCTGAGCCAGCATGGGAATAAACAACATGGTGACTGCTTTAGAAAGAAGGTTGTAGTTTATTGAAGAAGAAGGCCAGGCAGAAAGATGGCTCTGGAAGAAGAAAAAAGAGAGAGCACATGTAGGGAGTGGGTTTTTATACCCTCTTGGGCTTTTGTTTGGAGTTGTTTCCTTTTCCTGTTTGAGGCTTTGTATTTCCTGTGTCATGGACTTTGACCTGAGTCTGAGTATGCCCCTTTGGCATCTGTGAGCTAATCCTATTATGTCCTGTTCTAGAGTTTGGGTGGGGTATGTAGATTTTAGGTGTCTTTGTCTTCCTAAGCTTCTAGCTGGAGGCTGCCAACCTTCCTGGATGGATTATTTACATCTGTATTTCTACAGAGCTGGTTTTGCTTGGGGGAGGGAGACTTGGGGCTGTTAAAAAAAAATGGGCATGCTTTTCTGCCTCTTTAAGATCCTTTGAGGAAATACAATGTTCTGCCCTTTTAATACTTCCTTCTCGGGGGGAGGCTGATTTCCTACAGTCATAAATATGAAAGTTGCCAAGCATCCGAATTTTGATCATGTTGTCAACGCTGCTAATATTGAATATTCTTGCTTTGACAAAATATGCAGAACTGTTTGGTATTTTTAGAGTTAATTCGGATGACAGAGAAAAGGGAGGGGAAATAACAAAACCCCGGGAAAAGGAACGGAAGTGAATCTTTGCCCTCTGGGCTAATTGGAAGATGTGACTTGTGACTGCAAGATAAGGGAGGGGTTTAGCAAGAAAAGTTAGATGCCAGCAAGAGGAATTCAGATTCTGGCATAAACCTTCCATTATGCCTGTGCCGACATTTTGAAGCAATAAAAGACTTTTAGGGAAATCAATGCCTGGAAGTTCTTTGAGGTGTTACATTAGTCAGAACCATGACACACGTGACATGGGGATGCTGCAACAGTTGTAAATGTGAAAAATGGTCAGAAGTCACTTTTTCTGTGCCGTTGTAACTTCAAATGTTCACTACCCTGACTGTTGTAAGTCGAGGACTACCTGCGCCGTTTTTCTGATGGAAGTAAAATAATTTTGCTTTTTCCTTTAGGACCCAAGAATGAAGTATAAATCATCCAGAGTCCTTTGGAGTGGAGTGGCTGTAATAAATCTATAAAATAAAATATAAAGAAGTTCTAGCCAACATCACCCTTCCATCAATCAGAGTCTTTGGCTTTTACTACCTAACTCCGTTTCCGAGACCTCTGCTTCAATCATGTTCCATTGTTTGGACTCAAAAGCTGACTACCAAGATGTCCTCAAATTCCAAGTCTTTGAAGGTCCTCTGCTTCAAGCAACTCAGTCTGGATGGATCCGAAGCCTTCAAATTCTAGCATGGCATGATTTCGAATTAGTCATGTTTTGGGTAGTTTCAACGAGCTTTGTGGCCATCAAATCCTTAACCCGGGAAAAATGTTGCAGTTTTCTTCTGTCTCATAATTGATAGATGAACCATGTTAAAAAAGGAAATACTGATTATGACTACATGCCATCAAGTTGTTATCTACCCTTAATGATCACATAGATCAGGGGTCTTCAAACTTGGCCCTTTTATGACTTGTGGACTTCAACTCCCAGAATTCCTCAGTCAGACACGCTGGCTGAGGAATTCTGGGAGTTGAAGTCCACAAGTCATAAAAGGGCCAAGTTTGAAGACCCCTGACATAGATCTTCTCCAGGAGGTTCCTCCATCTAGCTCCTCCAACAGTGCAACCATCATCACTGTAACGAAATCCATCCATCTTGCTGCTTCATGTCCTCTTTTTTTCTTCCTCTCTTCTCTGAGCTTGGTTGTTTTCTTGCAGACATTTCATTATCCAAACTAGGCAACGTCATTAGTGCTAGTGATGATCATTAGGGCTAGCACTGATGATGTTACCTAATTGGGTAATGAAACGTCTGCAAGAAAACTACTAGAATAGGGGTTCTCAACCTTGGCAGCTTTAAGACTTATGGACTTCAACTCCCAGAATTCCTCAGCCAGCAAAGCCACAAGTCTTAAAGTTGCCAAGGTTGAGAACCCCTGTACTAGAAGCACCAAGGATCCCTTATTTCAATCCTGAGTTACAAATACTCTCCTTTAGTGATCTTCTTTCCTTCCACCTTTCCCAGCATTAGAGCCTTCTCCAGACAGCTGGGTCTTCTCCTTGTGTGACCAAAGTAGGGTAATTTGAGCCTGGTCATTTGACTCAAATCACCTATCCTTACCAAACTCAAGTGCCTTTGATTGTGCCAGCATTGTAAGATTTCCTCATATGAATCTTCTTCTGGCCAAGAAGTTTTTTTTTTTTTAACAAGGTGTTGCTTTCCTACTGTTTCTTTGCCCACTATTGTATTTCCTGAATATTCCGATTCTCAGGGGACCAAACATGAAATGAGTCACAACTACCAAAAGTGATTGTTTTTAAAGCCATTAATTGTAACAAGAGAACAATTGTTTACATGACTTTTTTTTGTCCAGGTTTTAAAATTTTGTAACGACTTGCTGTAAATACCTTGAAGTTCCAAGCTGGTGCTTTTAAATTTCATATAAAGAATTAGGATACATTAAAACTTCTTTATCCAGTCAGGTATCCTACAGATGCATCAAACTGCATCTCTCATCCTCTCCTATATGGCCAGGGAGTGAGGGCGTAGGCCCTAGGGCTAGGCCAGGGCTAGGCAACCTTGGCTCTTTTATGACTCGTGGACTTCAACTCCCAGAATTCCTGAGCCAGCCATGCTGAGGGAAAAGGGAGAGATTTCCAAGCTGAGCCAGGCTGGCTCAGGAATTCTGGGAGTTGAAGCCCATAAGTCATAAAAGAGCCAAGGTTGCCTAGCCTTGGGCTAGGCCAGTGGTTCTCAACCTTTTTAATGCCACGACCCCCAACTGGTCATAAGTCGAGGACTACTCAATCGGTTGTAAGTCGAGGACTACTCAACTGGTGCAGCACCGTTTGCAGAATGGGACTTTTGGCGGGCTCAGCAGGGCAGAGACAGCCTGGACAATTCCTATTGGCTTTTGAAAGCCAATAGAATTAGAATCTATTCAAGAGAGTCTATTCTATTGGCTTTCAAAAGCCAATAGAATAAAAGGGAGTAGCACAGCTAAGGAAAAGGGGGAAAATGGCAGACTGCGTTGTTTGGCGACCCCCATGAAATGGTCGTTCGACCCCAAATGGGGTTCCGACCCACAGGTTGAGAGCCACTGGGCTAGGCTATTAACCTGCTAACAAACTATTAAGAGCTTTTATAAATCATGAATTTGCTTTAGTTAGAGAGACTTATTTTAATCAGTCTGTGCTTTTCCTGAATTATTAGATTCCTCAGTTAACTAACATCTACCTTGAAGGTATTGGAAGACGCTAAAGAGGCTAATTACAAATGTTTCAGTTATAGGCAGTGTTAGTCTGGCTCAGGGGTCTTCAAACTCGGCCCTTTTATGACTCATGGACTTCAACTCCCAGAATTCCTCTAGCTGACCCATTCTAGAGTGTAGCTACGGATAGTCCTCAACTTGCAAACATTTGTTTAGCGGCTGTTCAAAGTTTCAATGGCACTGAAAAAAAAATGACTCATAGCTGTTTTTCATACTTACAACACATCCCTGGGGTTACGTGATCAAAATTCAGACGCTTGGCAACTGGCATGTATTTATGATGGTTGCAGCGTCCCGGGGTCATGTGATCCCTTTTTGCAACTTACTGACAAGCAAATTCAGTGGGAAGCCAGATTCAACTTAATAACTATGTTCACAGCAGCAGCGCTTCACTTAACAATTGTGGCAAGCAAGGTTGTAAAATTCACTTAACAACTGCCTTGCTTAGCAATGGAGATTTTGCGCTCAATAGTGGTCATAAATCAAGGTCTACCTGTGTGCTAACAGTATTATGCAAGTGGGACAATTGCTGGAACAAGAAAATGTGATGTGCGAGCCCACATAAAGAGAATTTATAATGTTTTAATAGAATTGGATTCTGAAACAGAGAGTTAAAGATTGTATGGTAAAATGGGCTCAAAATATTCAAGAGCCGATTCTATTGGATACATGGGAGACAATTTGGGTTAGAAATGTAAAATTTACTCAAGCTCAAAATTTAAGAGAAAACTTTTATAAAATGTTTTACAGGTGGCATTTGGATCCTCAAAAGCTGTCTTGTATGTATTCTAATTTACAGCCCAAATGTTGGAGATGTGGAAGCTTAGATGCAATTATTTTCATATTTGGTGGACTTGTAGAAATATAAAAGCTTTTTGGATTAAGATTTGGTGGAACGTTCAAAAGATTTTTAAGAGAAAGATAAAGTTTACGCCACAATTATTTTTATTAGGTGTTATTGTAGACTTTGATGTTAAAGAAATTAATTTGATGTTGAATCTTATAACAGCTGCAAGATTACTGGTGGGGCAATATTGGAAGAAAGATTCAGTGCCTACTATGGAAGAATGGATAGTCAAGGTGTCTAATTTAGCAGAAATGGCAAAAAATTCCGCTTATTTGAAGGATTATTCACAAGAAAGATACATTTGGGTTTGGAGAAGATGGATAGATTATATTCAGAATAAATATGAGACTAAAAAGTATTATTTAGCTTATGAGTAAATTTTAGATTATTACTAATAGTTTAATATGGTTGAATTTATACTATTTTTAATATTATGGTTTAATTATATTATTATTTTCATTTTTAATTTGTTAATATTTATTTTGAAAAGGAGTTAAAGTATGTCATGGATTTGATTGTTAGTATAGTTGGGTAATGTTAGTTAGATTATGATTGTTTATTTGTAACCCTGTAATCAGCTCTGGGAAGTGGGGGAGGGGGTGGGGTGGGAGGGATTTGGGATATATATTGTATAAAAATTTTTAAAACTTTTAATAAAAAAAATGTGATGTGGTATTCTGCTTAAGCCATGGCTAAGGAAGTTTGGGCAAAGGTCCAGAGGTAAAAAGTTTTATCATTAGCAGGTTACAGAAACCACCCAGAGCTCGAGAGCTTATCAAGTGAACCCTCCCTTACTTATTATGGGATGTGAGTCATGCATGTTTTCAATAAACCAGGAACAAGCGATGAAATATCCGGAAATTCTTTATACGTGATATTATGGTATAAAAACAATTTGTTGAATGTCAGCAATCTTGCTTCATTTGGACTTGGGTCCCAAGCATCCATTTTACCTCTGCGCAGAAATAAAACATTAAACCTCACTTTTATCTCTCAGCGTGATTATTGACTCAAAATGTACCAGATAAAACGATCACAGTATTGGACTGGGCTAATAAATAAACTGAATTTATTTATTAGTGTTTATCCTCTTTTTCTTCCTGTGCCATATCCGTTATCGGACGTTGACGATCATGTTGGCGATCCTGTTTTTATCAGCAGCCGCACGAAAAAGTGCTGCTGAGTTTTGTCCCAACCAGTCCCTTAGATTTTGAAGCCACGATATTCTTCTTCTGCCTGGACCTCGTTTGCCTTCCATCTTTCCCTGGAGGATTAAATGGAGCATGCTGTATTTTTCTGGGTGTCGCATCACATGTCCGAAATATTCTAACTTTCGTTTTTTAATTGTTTTGATGATTTCCCTTGGCTTTCCCAGGCGGCTTATCATCTTCTCATTTCTGATCTTGTCAAGCCAGCTTATACGTAACAGCCGCCTGTAGATCCACATTTCAAATGCTTCTAGATCAGTGGTTCTCAACCTGTGGGTCGGGACCCCATTTGGGGTTGAACGACCATTTCACGGGGGTCGCCAAACCACGCTGTCCGCCATTTTTTTCCCTTTTCCCTAGCTGTCCTACTCCCTCTTATTGGTGGCCACACCCACTTGGGGGTCACCACAACATGGGGAACTGTATTATGGGGTCACGGCATTAGAAAGGTTGAGAACCACTGTTCTAGATAGACTCAATTTGCATTACTTTCTTTTAGCTCCACACATCTGAAGATGCAATGTGATGCCAAACAGAGTACCAGAAATAAAGCATTAAACCCCCGTTTTCTCTTTCAGCATGATGATTGGCTTAAATTGTGCGGGATAAAATGAACACAATGTTGGATTCGGCGGAAACAAACAAACTGAAGTTATCCCAAAGGTGCTTTTTTCACGAGGCAACTAGACTCAAATGCTTGGTGCAACATAGGAGAATAACTTCAGATTAGGCGAGACCTGGCTCAAAAACAGTAACAGTGAGAGGGACCTTGGAGTCCTAGTGGACGATCACTTGACTATGAGCCAGCAGTGTGTAGCAACGGCCAAAAAAAGCTAATACAATCCTGGATTGTATAAACAGGCATAGAATCAAGATCACACAAGGTATTAGTACCACTTTATAAAACCCTAGTGAGACTACACCTGGAATACCGCAACCAGTTTTGGTCACCATACTACAAAATAGATATTGAGACATTGGAAAAAGTTCAAAGAAGAGCAACTAAAATGATCAAAGGCCTGGAGACTAAAACATACGAAGAATGCCTTCAGGATTTGGGTTTGGCTAGTCCAGTGATGGCAAACCTTTTAGAGACCGAGTGCCCAAAAACTGCCCCACCCCTGCTCTGCCCTCCCCACTCTGCCCCTGCCCCCCCCATTCTGTCCCTGCCCCACACACCTGCAGGGCCACCCACCGCCTCCATGGCCCTCAGCTGCAGATCGCCCAGGGAGCCCTGCAGCACCATGGCGGCCATGTCCTCTGCCCACACCCCACAATATAATTTGCACGCGACGGGGCATGAGGGCGGAGTCTTGTCCCTGCTGCCCGGCTGCAATGTCCTTGGCTGCGCTGTTCTGCACGGGCCATGCCCAGGGGCGACTCTCCTCTGGGGGGGGGCTGCTGGTGAGGAGGGGGCACAAGGGGAGGCAGGAATGGGGCGACGGTGCGCATGCCCACAGAGAGGGCTCCGAGTGCTGCCTCTGGCACGTGTGCCATAGGTTCGCCACCACCACTGGGCCAGTCTAAAGAAAAGAAGAAATAGGGGTGACATAATAGCAGCATTCCAGTACTTGAGGGGCTGCCACAAGACAGAGGGGGCCAGGTTGTTCATCAAAGCACCAGAGGGTAGGACAAGAAACAATGGTTCGAAACTGACCAAAGAGAGAAGCAACCTGGAATTAAGGAGAAACTTCCTAACAGTGAGGACAATCAACCAGTGGAACAGCTGCCTTCAGAAATTGTGGGCGCTCCATCACTGGAGGTTTTTAAGAAGAGACTGGACAACCACCTGTCTGATTATTAGATTATCCTGCTCAAGCAGAGGGCTAGACTAGAACAGGGCTTTTCAACCTTTTCACCCATTGTACCACTTTTAGGATATAGCAATATACGAGTATCACCAGTCGCCTAGCAAAACTTGATGACCAAAAAAAAAAAAAAAAATGGAAAAAAGTGATAAAGTAACAGGTAGTCCTTGACTTACAACAGTTCGCTTAGTGGCTGTTCGAAGTTACAATGGCACTGAAAAAAATGTCCCCCAAGCCATAGCCGAGCAAGACACCTGCCTGCCCACCCAGCAGCGCTCTTCCTCCTGTCCGAGGTTTTCATTGTTGTGAGCATTTCTGTTGAGGATTGGCAGTGGGGATGGGGTGGGGGATGTTTGGTTTTTATTTCCCCCATTTGCTGGGTGGTTGCAGCAGGGTTTGGTCACTTCACAATGTGACCGTCATAAATATGAATCAGTTGCCAAGCATCTGAATGTAAATCACAAGACCCTGGAGATGCTGCAACATTCCAGCTGATCGGCACTTCTTCTGGGCTCAGCAGAAGCGCCAGGATCAGCGCCGAGCTCCAGCTGGATCCTGGCGCTGATCCTGGTGTTTCCGCTGAGCCCTGACAGCCCTGCAGCTCCAGCCATCTCTCGCTCAGGCTTGTGCTGTGCTGCCACCTGTGCGGTTCAGCCCATTCCCCTCCCCTGCTACCACTTTTCTAGGATGGTTGTATACCACCTGCCAGGTGCCAATGTACCACAGGTGGTATCCGTGCCACTGGTTGAAAAGCCCTGGACTAGAAGACCTACAAGGTCCCTTTCAGCTTTCTATTCTATTCTATTCTATTCTATTCTATTCTATTCTATTCTATTCTATTCTATTCTATTCTATTCTATTCTATTCTTATTCCTATTCCTATTCCTATTTCTATTCTAGCTTCTCTTATGAGAAGCGAAACGTCTTCAAAAAAACCCAAGAAAGTCCAGTTGCCTCGTGAAAAAAGCACCTTTGGGACAACCGGGACCTGGATGACTGAGAAGCTCCATAAACCTAATTTATTTGTAGACGGGCCCAATTTACATTAAGATCTGTTAAAGCTCCACGCCTCTGAAGAGGCAGTGCGATGCCAAGCAGGCTACCAGTGTTAATTACCCTCTCACTGCCTCTTCTCAGTCCCTGAAGAAGTCACGCGTTGCCCAAACTGCACGTCTGAATCCTCAACCCTACCAGACCCTCCTCCGGAAATCTCCAGAGGTCTCCGCAGCAAGAGACCAAGCCCGGAACGGGAAGCAAGAGGCAAAAAAAAAAAAAAAACCGAAAGTAACGTTGATCGAGCTCCCGAGCCCTCCCCCCCTTGCCAGCCTTTTTCCGCGTCTTTCTTGTTCTTTTTTCTTCCCGAGTTCCCGCCTTTTCGGGGAAGAGGCGCGATGGCCAGGAGCGTCCGCAGCTGCCTGGCAAAAGCCCTGGAGAACTTGGAAGAGGACGACCTCGAAAAGTTCAAATTGAACCTCAACGAGTACCAGGTCAAGCCGGGCTTCGACAACATCCCCCGGGGGCTGCTGCAGAAGGCCGGCGCGCTCAAACTCAGCGACCTGCTGGTCAGATACTACTGCGAGGACTACGCCGTGGAGGTGGCGGCCGCGGTGCTGTGGGACAGCGACTGCAAGCCTCAAGCCCAGAAGCTTCTCAAGGACACCGGGAGAGGTAGCGCAGGGGATGAGCGCTTTTAGCTACGGAAGGAAAACCGGACCGGGGTTGACCCGGGCTTTTCTCTAACCTAGCAAGCCCCAGATGGGTTGGGCCGTAGTTCCCAGCCCCGTAGCTCCGTGGGGGGAGTTGAGTGCAGCCGGAGAACCGTTTAGCTGTGGGGGAGGTTAAGTTACTTCAACCTCAGCCGACCACCCAATGGGGGGAAAAAAGGTTTCAGTTTCCACAGAGAAATTATTTGCTAGGATTTTGCTTTCTCTTTCCAAAGGTTGGTTAGGAAATAGGTCTACCCCTCCCCCTTTCTCATATTTTATATATACAATATATTTTATAATTTCTATGGAAACCAAATCCAGTTTTACATATGTTTGCTTACCAGTTATTCAGTGCATGCCACCCAGCAAGCACAATTTTAAATATAGGAATCCCAGGTATGGACATTTAAACTCAATCAGATAAAAATAAAGAGCTCTGGGATGTAAGATAAAAGGCTTTTTTTTTATTAATTGCTGAGCTTTCGTTAACAACCTGATGATGTTAACAGGTTCTTAACGAAAGCTCAGCAATTAATAAAATTATGTGTGTGTGTGTGTACACACACACACACACACACACACACACATATATATTCTGAGGTTTTCGCTGGTGTTTGTATGTAGGTCTTTGGTTATTCGGGTTTTCTCCTGCGTAAAATTGGAAACGTTGCCAAGACACTTCCAATTTTACGCAGGAGAAAACCCGAATAACCAAAGACCTACATGTGTGTGTGTGTGTATATTCCTGTACAGCCATAAAATCCAAGCAATGAAAGCATTGCTAACATTTTATATCTTTTATAAAAGATATGAGACATTAAAACACCGTATATAATAAGTATAATGCAATAAAGTGTAACCCAGGAACAGAAAAGAAAAGCAGCACTCAAAAGTTAGAAAGATCAGGGCACCACTAATTACTGTATTAGGAGGCTTGGAAGAAAAATGTCTTTCTAAAAGGTGATAAAGACCGCTTTGGATGTTCTTTGGCAGGGTGAGGTGCCCAGAGGGTTGAAAATTCTTAGGCCTGCAATATTTTGATATGATCGAACTATTGTATTTGGTTAGGACAGAAGTAAGAGCAGAAATGAAAATGGATTTTCTTTAGATACAGTAATCTCAAGCCACAAAGGGCTTTATACTTTGTGTCTGAAAACAAACGAAGAGGGAATGATGATGAACTGATGTGATGCACTCATTTCATCCAAATCTAGTCTCTGTTTCTGTTGCAGAAATTGTGCTAACTGAAGTTACAAGTCACCTTCAGGAACAGAACCAAGCATAAATTATCAGGACATGATTTATCATAGCAAGTTTATTTTTATTCAGGTAGGGCTGTAGCTGGTGTCTCCATGCACCATGGAGACACCCTAATCAGGTTGCCCTGAACAGAGATGGCCAACAGTCAGAGGACACAATAAGAGTAGAGAAATGAAGTATATTTTGCTGCTCTTATCACCACAATAATAAAGACTCTTGTCTGTTTCTGGTCAATTTCACTCCTTGTTTTCCTCCAGCATCATTCTAAGCATCCTCTTCTGGAGGTCCTCCAAAAACCAGAGAGTACAGCATAGTCTTCACATAGAGAATCTTCCTAAATGCAATCCAGTCTAATGCTGCCAGCACAGATTCATATCTAGGTGGAAAATAAGAACTCAATCAAAATATATACCACAGCCTCAGGTATAATCCCAAACTGAAACCCAATAGGGTCCATCAAACTGATTGTACTGTATATGTCCATCTTCCTTGGGAAGTTCACTTGCAACATTTTCCAGCTTCTCAAGCTGATCTATACACACACGATCTCTCAGAGAATATCAGGCAAAGTTTTGTGCGTTGTCCATTTATTGCTGGTTTTGCACAGTAACCTTTTTTTTTTCCCTTCAGATGCCTGCAATTCTGCTCAGGAACCTGTGCCCCAGCTCAGCAACCACTCAAGACAAGCTGGTGAGTCCCTTAACTTCCCCATCAGTAGGCAAGAATCAGCCTGCGTGACTGTTTGCTTAGTACAAATTTAAGCAAATTTCAGTTTCACAGCAATATCTGATTTCTCTCTAAAACTCCAAGGAATGGTAGGGAGATTATATTAAAACCTTGGAAAAGGCAACATATTTGCATATATATAAAACATGCAAAGAAAGAAGGGCACCCATTTTCTCTTCAGGAGCCAGTTTTGGGAAATCCGTCTTTTCCCTTTGCTGAATTAAAAGCCTGATGTGAAAGGTGCTGATTGGTCATATTATTTTATAAAGACTCATTTCACCTGTTAGCCTTCACTTCATACCTTGGATTTATTTTTCCAAAGTTGTTTGTATAGAACGATACAAGCTTGACAACACTGAGTCTACTACAACCAAAATATTTGATGTTCCCCAAAGTAGTATTCATGAAACCCCACAATTAAATAAAAAAATATTTTTGTTTGAAAAATTAAATGGTTGTAGCCTTGTAATTTATACGAGCCTTTGTATAATCTCCTCTGGAGACCGAGAAGACAGTTGGCTCCTAATGTAGCAAGCATTCATTTTTTAACAAATATTCTCCTGATTGTCAAGCTGTGCCTTGAATTGTGAAAACATATATATATATATTTTAACAGAGGTTCAGGCCCCAGGAATGCATTTTATTGAACGCCATCGAGACGCCCTGATTCAGAGAACCGCCACAGTGGAAGAAATTCTGGATCAGCTGTACGGAGTTCTCCTGACTAACGAGCAATATCAAGGAATCATGATAAAGGGAACAGACCAGGCTAAAATGAGGGAGCTCTTCAGCCTGATGCCTGGCTGGGATCGTCATGGCAAGGATTTGCTCTATGAGGTTCTGAAGAAGAAAAGAAAGTATCTCATTGAAGACCTCGAAAGGCAGTGAGGCAGTAGAAGTGAGACACCATCTCAGGGCATAAAATATCCAGTTACGCACGTCCTAGGAATCCCACAGAGGTATATATATATAGGCAGTCTTACACCCACTTATGATCACAACTGAGCCCAAGATTTATGTTGCTAAGTGAGAAATTTGTTAAGTGAGTTTTGCCCCATTTTATGGCTTTTCTTGCCACATTTCTTAACTGAATTACTGCACTTGTTAAGTTAGTAACACGGTTGTTAAGTGAATCTGGCTTTCCCATTAACTTTGCTGGTCAGAAGGTTGCAAAAGGGGATCACATGACCACAGGACCCTGCGACCGTCATGCATCCGGATGTAAATCACACGACTATAGGGATGCTGCAGTGGTCAAGTGTGAAAAATGGCCATGTCGCTTTTTTCAGTTTCATTGTAACTTTGAACGGTCACTAAACCGACTCTTGTAAGGTGAGGACTTACCTGGAGTATCTTTCCACCCAGAAGCTGTATTTACAGCTGACCTGGTTATTGAATTGTTCTGTTTTCTTGAGTTGACATAGTATGGGTAGTCCTCGACTTACAACCACTATTGCGCCCAAAATTTCTGCTGCTAAGCAAGGCAGTTGTTAAGCGAGTTACGCCCCATTTTATGACCTTTTTGCCAGAGTTAAGTGAATCACCGCAGTTATTTAATTGGGATTTCCACATTTCTTTCTGGGGAGCCTTTCCACTGTGCAATAACAGAGTTGGAAGGGACCTTGGAGGTCTTCTAGTCCAACCCCCTGCTCAAGCATATACCATTCCAGAGAAATGGCTGCCAACTCTTCGTAAAAATCTCCAGTGATGGAGCACCCACAACTTCTGAAGGCAAGCCGTTCCACTGGTTAATTGTTCTCACTGTTAGGAAATTTCTCCTTAGTTCCAGGTTGCTTCTCTCCTTGATTAGTTTCCATCCGTTGTTTCTTGTCTTGCCTACTGGTGCTTTGGAAAATAGCTTGACCCCCCCTCTTCACATTCACATTCCTCTTGCCTACACGTAATTTGTTATTGCATTCCAAATCAAACTGCTCTTTATCCAAAGAAATTTAAGCACTTATGCAACAACAACGTGTTGTCTAGATGTTATGGACTGTAATTCCCCCCCCCCCATCCCTTATCACTGGTTATGCTTGCTGGTGTAATGGGAACCCTCACCTGGTGCCCACCAAGCCACCTGTCTCTTCCTTCAAATGATTGGTTCTAGCCTCCATCGCAAGACCAGAGGTAGGGAAGCAGTAGAACAGTTGTTTCCCAATCTCGGAAATTTGTGTGGACTTCAATTCCCAGAGTTCCCCACCCATTAGGCAGATGAAGTCCACGCCTCATTGCTGAGGTTGAGAAACACTCCTTTAGAGAGCAAACAAGATGGTTTTGATAGAGATATGCAGAAGCCATTGCCTGGTCCAGGGGTAGGCAACCTTGGCTCTTTTATGACTCATGGACTTCAACTCCCAGCATAGCTGACTCAGGAATTCTGGGAGCTGAAGTCCATGAGTCATAATAGAGCCGAGGTTGCCTACCCCTGGACTAGTCAAAAGTGGCTAATGTATTATTAAGTCCAGAACATCCAGATAACAATCAGAAATATCCAAGGAGGAGGTGTCTATGGAGATCCTTACGGTCACGGTTGTCCCAAAGGTGTTATTTCCCCCCCCAAAAAAGCAACTGGCCTTTCTTGTTTTTTTTTTTTCTTGGAAAACGTGTCACTTCTCATTCAAGACACTTAAACTGAAGAAGCTTCTTGGATGAAAAGCGAAACGTTTTCAAAGCATCTTTTGGAAAAAGCATATTTGTATCTAAGGAGGAGGAGGAGGTACAGTGTAGCCTAATCAGATTTGCAAGATTTTTATTATTATAGTCAACCACAAAATGTTTTTAGCTTTCCTGTGGAGTTGATTTCTTGGTATGGTCTACCTAGCAAGGCTGACAAAAACTCATGAAATAGCTAGATTCCAAACATTCCTTTTACTGAACTGGCACTCCCAAAGCTAGCAAATTTATTTTTTTTTTAGAAAATTTATATAGCAATAGCACTCAGCCTTATCCTGTATATCTCTTCACAAAGCTTTACATATAGCTGCCTACTTGCTCACAGTGACTCTAGGTGGCTTACACACGATAGAAATAGTGGTCCATGTTATTCCTGATATGGTATGAATATCATATGTAACTATGATTTATGTTCTATGACCTATCACTTTTTTTGTCTGATTGAGAGCTTATGCACCAGAGACAAATTCCTTGTGTGTCCAATCATACTTGGCCAATAAAAAATTCTATTCTATTCTATTCCATTCCATTCCATCTCTATTCTATTCTATTCTATTCCATTCCAATCCAATCTAATCTAATTTCTGTTCTGTTCTATTCCTATTTCTATTCTATTCTATGCTAATCTAATCTAATCTCTGTTCTGTTCTATTCCTATTTCTATTCTATTCTATGCTAATCTAATCTAATCTCTGTTCTGTTCTATTCCTATTCCATTCTATTCCATCTCTATTCTATTCTATTCTATTCTATTCCATCTCTATTCCATTCTATTCTATTCTTTACAAAATGTCTAGTATTTTTAAAATCAAGGTAGTCCCAGTGCAATTCTAAAAGAGGCAGAAAGAAGAAAGGACAGAAAAAGGCAAACAAGCAAACTGAAATACCAATTCCTAAAGTTACCAATTCTTATATGTCAGGAGGGATGGAAAAAAAAAATCCAGCTTGTCCCATATAGCCAACCTAAAGGAAAGCATAACCAAATGGCTGTGAGCCTCAATGAAGTAGCAGATGGACTTTGTTTGATCCTGATCTCTGTCTGAACATTCCCATTGTTGCCTTTTATCAGACAATCTTGTCAAAAATCCCAATTCACGCATACTTGTATCATGACAAAATAAAGCATCGTCTAATCACGTGCTGCTTTGTTATTTCAAAAAACAGAATGAGATTAAAACAGGGTTGCAAGCAAAGGAACTTGTATGCATTGTGGAATGTTTTAGTTAATATATGTTCTGTTTTGATTTACAGTTTTGAAATACGGGCACAGATATAAATGATGGGATGGAGTAAGTTGGCATATAATCAAAATGTTACTATAGCCAAAGGCCAGCAAGACAAAAAGATAATTAACTGATATGGGAGACAATCTTCAATATGCCTCTGTCATCTGCTGCATTCTTGAGGCTAGATAACAAAATTTAGTGATTTGATAAATCTCAAAGGTTTTTTTTAAGTAGAAAAACTACATGATCATCTGCCTGCTCTGGGATTATTTACAAAAAAAGGAGAGATTAATATTTAGCACTACTGTAAAACTTTTATGTATATAAACAAATATATAAGTGAAAGTTCTAGCAAGATTAGCAATACAAGACAAAAAAAAAAGGTCTAAGCAAAGTACAATGCCAATATTTAAAGGAATCAGTTACGGAAGGGGTTGTGTTTTCACAGAAGATGCAACAAATGAAAAATTAACCTTGTCTGAAATGTATTGTGTAAAGGTTTATTTAGGTAGAACAAACTTATGATGGTAATACAGGTAGCCCTTGATTTATGACCAGTCTCTTAGGAATTGTTCGAAGTTACAACGGAACCCTCAAAAGCTAGTCATGACCCAGTTTCAAGTTCTGACATCACCCACCCCTTGTGGTCATGTGACTGTGTTTTGGTCACTTGGCACCAAGCCTGCATTTACTGCAACGTATGATGGTTTTGCATAAACCTGAAAAAGCCAGGTTATATTTAATACATTCACCAAAGAAAGAAAGAAAAATTGTATCTGGAGAAGAACTAGATGTAATAGACCACTACATATACTTTGGCCAATGGATCTCAACAGAAGGTGGTACAATAAAGCAGGGATGTCAAATTGCTGGCCCACAGGCCGGATTCGTCATGCCGAAACTGCACCCACCCCATTGCCAGCAATGGGGAAAAATTCGCATTTATTGCAAAGTTTGACACTTTGCAATAAAGGAAACTGAACGGCGAATTGGCAGACACTCGGCAAGCTAAGCTAATAGAATGGTGAATTGGCAGGCATTCGGCAAGCTAAGCATCATTTTCAAGAACAACTTCCCACCCACCCACCCACCCCCGTGCCTGAAAAGTTTTCGATCAGTCTGTGCCACTTGCTCTAACATATGCCAGAGAAACATGGACACTAACCACACAATTGATACAAAAGCTACACGTGATGCAGAAAACCCATGGAAAGATACACACTCAGCATTACAAGACAAGATAGAAAAACCTGCAGATGGATTATTAGAGAACAAAAGTACACAGTATCATCGAAGGAGTAAAATAATTGCAATGGAAATGAGCTGGTCCCATAGCAAGAAGAACTGATGGCAGGTGGACTACGCAGTCACAGAATAGATCCCACTGGATAAAAAGCATCCACAAAAGAGACTTAAGATGGATCAATGAGATCAGCAAGCTCAGAGAGCACCACGGACTCCTCATTTCCACCCTGAGCTACAAATATTTTCCTTCATTGGTACCATATCTGGGCGTCAAACACTTCAGACGGCATGCAAATGGGAAAAAACTGCCTGCAGGCAAACCTCTACTAAAGAACCATTTTTCTTTCTGCAGAAATGCCTAAGACAGCACGCCCTACCTACCAGGGTCAGGTACAAACCTCCAATCAACTGCACAGCTGGATGGAAAATAGCCCAAGAAAGCGGGCAAAAAACGACAGGGCTCATGATTAGAGACCCACACCAGACTGGCCCTGATGATGTTACCTAATTAGGGTAATGAAACGTCTGCAAGAAAACAAGCCAGCTCAGAGAGCACCAAGCAGCCCTCATGTCAACCCAGGGCTACAAATATTCTCCTTCATGGGTAGATTTTTCTTAAGCTCCTTTGGGTGAAACGGGGCTCAGTTCTGGCGGCAGCCCCGGGTGTGGGCCTGAGGCCCGATTCTTTTCCTCAGCAAAGAGGAGCAAACATTGAAAGAGGCTGATAAATCATCAGTTGCAGGGCGGCGATGGGTCCTCCCTTTTCCGGAGACCGGATCAGGAAGACCCGCTGAAAGGAGCGAAACCGAAACGACTTTTTTTCCCCTCCCATTTCTAATTTTCCTCCCTCCAAAGCGACTGGTGGTGTGGGGCTGATCCCGACGGGCGGGCCGCGAATATGCCCAAATCCATCCGGGAATGCCTGGAGGAGACGCTGGAGGATCTGACGGAGGGCGAGCTCCAAAAATTCAAAGCCAGGCTCCACGAATTCCCGGTCAAACAGGGCTACGACAATATCCCCAAAGGACGGCTGGAGAAGGCGGACGCGCTGGATCTGAGCGACCTCCTGCTCAGCTTTTACACCGAGGATTACGCCCCGGAGGTGGCAGCCGCGGTGCTGAGACGCTCCAACTGCAGACCGCAAGCCGAAAAACTTGTGGCTCTTTCTGGAATTGGTAAGGAGAGGGTGAGGGGGGTGATAGCCAAATCCGGCTTCAAGATGAGGACTTAGGTATATTAGACCCCAATTTATTACCGAGACAAGGGAGATCTTTTAAATTACAATTTATTTGAAACGTTTCAACTAAAAAGGATTCTTTGATTAATTGATTGATTGAGCGAGAGAGAGAGAGAGAGAGAGAGAGAGAGAGAGAGAGAGAGAGAACACACAAAGGGGAGAAATCACACCGTCCCTTTTTATAGTTTGCATAATAAAAAAAAGTACATCAAAAGGTTTTGATTGGGTAGGGAAAAGTCATCTGTCCAGTTGTATCATAAGAATGAAAACATCCAATAATATGTGAGCAACTAAGACTGAAAAGAGCATTTTGCTCTGGATAACAGCAGAGGAAACATTTGCAAAGAATAATGTCAGAAGGGATATAGATAAGATACATTCTCAACTTTTCCCATCATTGAGCTCAATTCGGGTAGTCCTCGACTTACAACAATTCATTTAGTGACCATTCAAAGTGACACTGAAAAATGTGACTTATGACAGTTTTTCACAGTTACGACCTTTGCAGCATCCCCCTAATCATGTGATCAAAATTCAGATGCTTGGCAACTGGTTCATACTTATGACCGTTGCTGTGTCCCAGGGTCATGTGATCCCCTTTTGTGACTTTCTAACAAGCAAAGTCAGTGGGGAAGCCAGATTCACTTAACAATCAGATTGCTAACTTATCCACTGCAGGGATTCACTTAACTGCAGCAAGAAAGGTCGTAGAAAGGGACAAAACTCAATTAACAAATGTCTCACTTAACGACAGAAATTTGGGGCTCAATTATGGTCGTAAGTCGAGAATTACCTGTACTCACTCTTGTTCATAGAGGCTTGAGAACAGCTGAAACTCCTGGTTTCTAAAAGGGAGGCTTTTCTTCAAGCATATGGCAAATCATTTGCTATACATTTTGAAAAGGGCAAATTTAAAATACAAGAAAGCCCATGTTAGTTGGCCAGTGTAACAGTACTACAAAAACCATATTGCAAGTATTACAAAGTCCATGTTGTGTGGGGGCAAATTTGGGACCTGTCAAAGCCCCTCGCTTGATCCAGATCAAGAAAGTGGGCATCTGTTTGGGTTGGCATCCTTTGGTGCCTAAGTTTAAAAAAAAAATCCTGCTGTCTTCAATTTCTATAGAAAACTTTAAAATTATAGATATTCAATCAATTAAATTGAAAAAAGAAACAGCAAGGTGTGCATCTTTTTCCTAAAATACCTTTAAAACCATCTTTGGCTTCCATTTGCATTTCTTAAAGTTTTATGAACCCCCTTTCTCATTCTCACATCTTTTATAATATTCTTCCTTGGATGTTTATGCAGTTGTTACACAGTACAGACATTTGTCATTAACTTATTCAGTATTACTCAACTGTTCCCTAACAAGTTTGAAAGACATTTTTTAAACTTCTTATAAAAGTCTCACCTTTTTACTTTCACTTGTTACATAATTTCCTTTCCATTTATGAACTATGGAACTTTTTTTTAAATAACAAATTTTATTGGTTTTCCAGTTTTACATTTAAGTATTTAGAAAGTAGCGTGGTAATTGGGTAGTCAATAATTCAATAACAAAATCTTTAGTACATATCTCAGGTTACATCATCAAAAATTCCTCCTCTATTTCCCTTAACATTTGCTATATCATATTTAAACGAGTAAATTTATAATTATAACAAGCTCAGTTGAAATATTTATCAATATATTTTTTGCTTATACATATCCATATCCTGTTTTTAAGTTTTACCTAATTTTTTATTTTTAATTACAGTATTCCAATTTAACCTTTAACATCCATAATGAATTATGGAACTTTATCTGGCTTTTTATTTTAATCTATTTTTCTGGAAAGCTTACCTGTAAAATTTGTGAACAAAATTGCATTAGAAAGAACTCCCAGAATTCTTGACAATGCCACTCTGGCTGTGATATTTGGGGTTTTAAAACATTTTTAAAGCATTCTTTTCCTTTTCTGACAATTGTAGTCCAGTTCTGCTCTTTCTAACAATTGGACTACAATAAAACCAAAATAAACAAGGGAACAATCTTTGAAAAATGCAGTCTTGAAAAACATATTGGAATGGCACCCACATTAAGTCTTACTCTTGTACAGTCTATGCAGTAGCTGAACAGACTAGTCCCTATGAAAAATTACATACATACTTGGCTTGCTATCACTCATTCATAAATAACTGATATAACAGCAGTGTGAAATGTAATTTGATTTCGTAGAAACTTTAAGAAGTTTCATGTATGATTTTTAAAAATGAGAAGTTTCTCTCCCTTTCAACATAAGTTGGCCAAGGCAGGGCAATTCAGATGTGCCTCCACAGGAAGGAAGTCAAACTCAAGCAATTAGCCAGCATAAACGCTATTTTGCACACCCTGTTTCCCATCACAGTGACTTCTACCTACCACTTCCTCTAAAACACTTCCTTTGTTTGTTTTATGTTAGAATATTAGAATTCTACAATTTGGGAAGGACTGAAAATGCTGTTAGAAACCATTAACTTGCTCTTCCCGGTCCCAAGGCCGTGAGAAGTGTTTCTCATTCTGTGCAACACATTCCAGATGTGGGGAGTTCAACATCCCAAATGCCATAGCCCAGTGATGGCAAACCTTTTAGAGACCGAGTGCCCAAACTGCAACCCAAAACCCACTTATGCATCTTCGGGTGCCGGGTGGGTGTGGCCCATTGGCTGGGTGTGGCCCATTGGCTGGGCTGCGGTAGTAACGGCAGACTGGGTGGGACTAAAAAGTTCAATCAATCAATTCCAACTTTGCAAAATCTTTTTTTTCCCACCAGGAGTTGAAATTGATTGATTGAACTTTTTTTTTTTTTTTTGCACATGGTGGTGGAGGCCTAAAGCGAAAAGGTTTTATAAAACCCAGCTGAAGGCCTAGGACTGGGGCGATGGCGCGCGTGCCCACAGAGAGGGCTCTGAGTGCTGCCTCTGATACCAGTGCCATAGGTTCGCCACCACTGCCATAGCCAGAGTGGCCATCGCCAAGAATTCTGGGAATAGATGATCACTCCTCTAAAAGCTGCTTGGGATGGGAAACACCAGCTTTGAGACAAAGGGAATGAGTTCGCAGCTCATTTAAGACTATCCTGTGAGCATGTACAGAGTTCTTGTCTTCTTGTCGTTTCTTGACAGGGAATCAGCCTTCTAGTTCTTCTCACCAGCATTTCATCGACCGGTTCAGGGAGCAGCTGATTCAGCGAACTACCACAGTGGAACAGGTGTTGGATAAATTGCATGGTTCCATCCTAAACGAAGAACAATACCAAAAAATCTGCTCGCGGGAAACTAATCAGGCAAAAATGCGAGAGCTCTATAAGTTAGTTCCTGGCTGGGACCACCTGTGCAAAGATCAAATGTACAATGCACTGGAGGCCATAAATCCATTTCTCATCAAAGACCTAGAAGGGAGATGAAGCAACGAAGATAGAAAATTAAACCATTTTCCCAGAAGCCTGGCATTCTGACGAATTGGCTATTAATGGACACTCAGACGCAAATAACATCTACATACAGTGCAGAGGAGATAATCAAAGAGCCAAAAAAGGAACAAAAAGACCAAGACAGCTCCCTACCAGCAATCAACATCTAGATGACCATAGATTAACATCAAGATTAACAATCAAGAAGTAAACAATATCCTAATCAAGGAACTGCCAAACAAGCTAACTGTAAACCAACTAAAAAACCTCCAAGACTCATCCCCCCAACACTGACACGACAAGCCACTAGAACACGGGTGTCAAACTTGCTGCGTCACGTGACGTGTTGCAACATAACGTGACTTTTTCCGCATTGCCGGAGTTGGGGTAGGCTTGGCCTCCGCATGAGGCAACCGGCTGGCAGTTTGACACCCCTGCACCAGAATGTAAAATGAGAGCAAATCCCACTCCTTGTTGGCGCTGCTGATGTCACCTTATTTGGGTAATGAAACATCTGCAAGAAAACAAACATGAAAGCACCAAGGACCCCTCACCCAAACCTAATAATAGAAAGAACTTAGAGTGAAGGTGCTAGTAGCTTTATAAGTGCCTGCTCAAGATTTGGCGTTGGAAAATAACAGAGTTAAAAGTTTTAATTATTGATTTCATATTTTTTTAAAAAAAGTATTGTTCACCTTGAAAACTCTGATCAACCCTCTATTGCAGTCATTGACACAGTTAAATTGAAACAAAAATGTTCAAGAATTGACCTGTATATAAAGTGTACTTCCTTGAAATACTGTAAGTTTGGAATTTTTGAACATTCCTTCAGTTTCAGCTCCTCCTACCAGAGTAGTTAGGGAACAGCTGCTGAGGGTCCCCATCTACCAGAAGGTAAATGGGAGAGGGCCTAACAGTGGGAATTCTTTGTAGAAGATCTGTCTGGAAAAGTTTGGTCCCTGAAGCAAAGATGACCCCTGTTCTCATGATCTGCTGGAAGCAAGTGAAAACATGGCTTGTCTGAAGGCCTCCAGGCATTAGTCTTGGAATGTACTACTCTTGGCATTGAATTAAATTGAAGATTAAGATTTAGATCTATTTTAATACATTAGACTAGACTAGAATTAGAATTAGAATTAGAATTAGAATAGAATAGAATAGAATAGGGTAGATTGGAATAGAATAGGATAGAATAGAGTAGATTGGAATAGAATAGAATAGAATAGAATAGAATAGAATAGAATAGAATAGAATAGAATAGAATAGAATAGAATAGATTGGAATAGGATAGGATAGAATAGAATAGAATAGAGTAGATTGGAGTAGAATATAATAGAATAGAGTAGAGTAGAATGGAATGGAATGGAATGGAATGGAATGGAATGGAATGGAATAGAATAGGAGCTGGAAGGGACCCTAGAGATCTTCTAGTCCAGCCCCCTGCTCAAGCAAGAGGGACTTATACCATCTCAGATAGGTGATTGTTCAGTATCTTTTTAAAAACTTCCAGCGATGGAGCGCCCACATTTCCTGGGGGTAAGCTGTTCCACTGATTGGTTGTCCCCACTATCAGGAAGTTTCTCCTTAATTCCAGGTTGCTTCTCTCTTTGATCAGCTTCCAACCATTTTTTCTCATTCTGCCCTCTGGTGCTCTGGTGAATAACATGACCCCCTCTTCTTTGTGGCAGCCCCTCATATACTGGAATACTGCTATCATGTCTCCCCTATTTCTTTTTTTCTTTAGACTGGCCAAACCCAAATTCCGCAGCCGTTCTTTGTAAATTTTGGTCTCCAGGCCTTTGATCATCTTAGTTGCTTCTTCTAGATAATTATCATATAGATTGTGTATTGTGTTGTATGTTTATGTAAGCTGTCTTGAGTCCATTCACTTCTGGGGGGGGGATTCCATTAATAAATAAACAAGCATAGACTAGAGAAGATACTACTGTGCTGTCAATTGGGCAATCGGATTTTATAAAAGGATGATAATATGACATTTGTTGACATTTTGTGGGGGTGCGATGGCTCAGTGGTTAAAGATGCTGAGTTTGTCAGCTGGAAAGCTGATAGCTTGGGTTTGAGTCCCAAGTACCGGGCAATGGGGTGAGCTCCAGTTTCTTGCTCCACCTCCTGCCCACCTGGCAGTTCGAAAGCATGCAAATGCGATTAGATAAATAGGTACCACTTTAGTGGGAAGGTAATAGCGCACCGTGTGCCTTTGGCATATAGCCATGCTGGTCACATGATAATGCAAAATGTCTTCGGACAACACTGGCTGCCTTGGCCTAGAAACAGATAAGAACCGTGCCCTAGAGTCGGACATGAATGGATAGAAAAACCTTTACTGGTTGACATTTTAGGTAAGCATTCATAAAAATCAGAACCAGCAATAGCTGCTATTTATATTATCCTGAGTTTCCCCTAAAATAAGATCGGGCTTTATATTAATTTTTGCTCCAAAAAATGCATTATTAGGGCTTATTTTCCAGGTAGGGCTTATATTCGGGGAAATATGGTACTAAACGTGTCTGTCTGACAATCTTAACTGGGGCTTATTTTGGGAGTGGGGCTTATATTATGAGCATCTGGGAAAAAATCAGGGCTTATTTTCCAGTTGAGTCTTATTTTCTGGGAAACACGGTATTATAATATAAACCAGTGTGTATCAACCTCAATAACTTACGTGAACTTCATGTCCCAGAAACTGGCATACAATTAGCCAGTCTTAGAGTATTTATGTTATCTATTTATGTATTTATTATTTTTAAAAATAACTCAAGCTGGTGAACATATCCAACATATCTTCCTCCTCCTATTTTCCCCATAACAACCCTGTGAGGTGGGTTGGGCTGAGAGAGAGAGTGACTAGCTGGGAGTGACCCAGCTGGGTTTCGTGATTAAAGCAGGACTAGAACTCAGAGTCCCTCGTTTTCTAGCCTTGTACCTAAACATTATAATTTTTGAAGGCATAAAAAAGCGTTTTGAAGCAACCTTTTGCTAAGTACACGTTTCCTTTTTTTTAATTAAGTGGAGTACAATGTGTTATTATAATACATTGTAATATAATAACACATTGTAATCTGTAGGATTGCAAATGGAATTATTGCTTCATTTATTTATTTGCTTGGTGTAACTCATCAAGGATATCTTTTATCTCCGCTCATTTCACAGTGGAACTACTGGCGTATCTTATCATGCCAATTCTATGCAAAAAATGGTGGGAGGTGAACATAAGTTGTGGTTGTACAGTACTATACCAAAACAAATTTAACAAACACTCTGATAAATTGATAAATTTGAGAGCCAGTTACAGACTTTTAGTTCTTTTTGGAATCCAGCTTTGATAAATGAAGTAAGAGCCAAAACCTTTTCGTAGCAGCTTCTCATGACGTGGAACCCAGCCTGAAAAGAAGGGACAATCATATCAACAAGCTGGCATATGCTATTATAGAGTAATTGTTCCAGAGCTTTATAGGAAACCTATACACTAGGACAGTGGTAGCAAACCTATGGCACATGTGCCAGAGGCGGCACCCAGAGCCCTCTCTGTGGGCACGCGCGCCATGCCCCAGAGAGGGCAACTGTCCCTCTTCAATCAGCCACCTGCTAACTCGCCGAGGTCCCATATGGCCGGATGCATCCCAGCACAGCTGGTTTCCCTCCCCTCCGTCCCATCCCTCCTGGCCTCACATGCTCTCCTTTTCCTGAGCACGACCCACTGCATCGGCTCCTCAGCTGTCGGCTGTCCATCCAGCTCAGAGGCGGCTTCTCTGAACTTCTGGTGGCGGGCCGCAGAGCCTCAGAGTGCACCGGTCAAGGGGCCGGCAGGCTGTGTCTGCTGATGGACACTGTCGGCCCCCGTGCACTCACTGGCCTCTGTGTGTGGGGGCCGATGATGTCAGGCAGTGGCTGCCCTGGCCCCTGCCTCACCTTGCCCTGCGACAATGGCACCCCCGCCCTGCCTCACCTTGCCTCACCTCACCCCGTAGGACGAGCCTCCTGCCCACCGCCCCACCTGCCAGAGATCCCCTGGATCTCCCCCAACCCTGCCCAGCCCCCATAGGAGTCCCTCCCCATGAGCAACATCGAGGTGACCATGCCCACCTTGGCTACACCCACTCTGTCTGCCATGACCACCACAGCCACGCCCACCGTGGGCCACGCCCACCTAGCACCAGCAATAAATAAGTGAGTTTTGGGTTGCAGTTTGGGCACTCGGTCTCTAAAAGGTTCGCCATCACTGCACTAGGACAAAACTGTACACTAAGACAGGGCTTTTCAACCAGTGGTATGGGTACCACCTGTGGTACTTTGGCACCTAGCAGGTGGTACATGACCATCCTAGAAAAGTGGTAGCGGGGGAGGGGAATGAGCTGAACTGGTGGCAGCCCCGCACAAGCCTGATCGAGAGATGGCTGGAGCTGCAGGGCTCAGCGGAAGTGCCAGGATCGGTGCCACTTTCCAGCTGATCGGCACTTCTTCGGGGCTGTCAGGGCTCAGTAGAAGCGTCAGAATCAGCGCCAGGCTCCAGCTGGAGCTCCGCGCTGATCCTGGTGCTTCTGCTGAGCCCTGAAGAAGCACTAATCAGCTGAAAAGCAGCACTGATCCTGGCACTTCTGCTGAGCCCAGAAGAAGTGCCAATCAGCTGGAATGTTGCAGCATCTCCAGGGTTTTGTGATTTACATTCAGATGCGTGGCAACTGATTCATATTTATGACGGTCACAGTGTCCCAGGGTCATGTGAAGTGACTAAAACCTGCTGCAACCACCCAGAGACGGGGGGAATAAAAACCAAACACCCCCCACCCCATCCCTGCTGCCAACCCTCAACAGAAATGCTCACAACATGAAAACCTCGGACAGGAGGAAGAGTGCCGCTGGGCAGGCAGACAGGTGTCTTGCTCAGCTGTGGCTTGGGGGGCAGTTTTTTCAGTGCCATTGTAACTTTGATGAGTCACTAAACGAACTGCTGTAAGTCGAGGACTACCTGTACTTAATCACTTTTTTCCTTTTTAGGGGAGTGGGCATCAAGTTTTTGACACCTTGCTAGGAGACTGGTGGTACTCAGATGTTGCCATATCTTAAAAGTGGTACAATGGGTGAAAAGGTTGAAAAGCCCTGCACTAGGACAATTTTTTTTTTAAAAAAAATTAATCCATAGCTGAATAAGGGTGATGGATATTTTGAGCCAGCAGATTGCCAGTTGTATTTTTAAACCCTTTGAAATGAGCTGTCTACAATTGTAGAATAGCAACTGTTGAAAAAATACCTTAAGAAGAAGAAAACAAAAAACAAAAACTCCAGCACCCTTCTTCTTCCAGGATTCTTTGGTGCTTTCTGAGCTTGGTAGTTTTCTTGCAGACATTTCATAATCCAAACTAGGTCACATCATCAGTGCTAGTGTTCTCTAGTTTGGGTTGACAATGTCTGCAAGAAAACCACCAAGCTCAGAGAGCACCAAGGATCCTAAAATAGAAATAGAAATACCCAGGGCTTTTTTTCTCATAGAACGCCCAGAACAGAATTCCGGCACCTTTTTTGGATGGAACCTTGTAGGGTAGGCAAGGCGGGTTGTATGACATGTGTGAATTCTGGCACCTTTTTTTTTTTTTTTTTAGAAAAAAGCACTGGAAATACCATAGAAATAGAAATGTTCCTTATTGGCTAAGTTTGATTTGACAGACAAGGAATTTGTCTCCCGCCCATAAGCTCTCAGTGTGCATACAAGCAACAAGTGATAAATCATGATCATAATCATAAAATACAATCATCATAAATCATAAGATACAACACTCAGTGATACATAGGATACTAAATAAAACCAATCAACATAAATCATAATAGGATCCTAAATAAAAGCAACCTTAGGCGACAAATATTCCCCTTTATTGGTATCCTTCTTCCTTCTTTGCCCTAGGCTAGGGTCCTGAGATTGGCGTCCATTCCTCTATTCATTTCTCTACTCTATACATTAAAAGTCTCCAAAATTTTTATTACGATTCTGCAGACTCTTAAAATTCCCCCATTCTAAAAGGACACAGTTTTTGGCAGTTTGTTTTTGGCAGCTGCAAAATAAGCAGGGAATCAAGGTAAGCAGATTTCCTCCACGAAGCTGTATATTTTAAAAAGGCTGTTCTCATTCTTCGTAATGCATCCGAAGCAAAGTCCTCATTCCCGCCCTTCCCGGTCCTTAACTAGAGTGTTTCCTTTGGTTTCCTAGCAACCACCCCCAAGATTCTCTCCCGCCCCTCTCTAATTCCCCCCTGCATCATGTGAACTTCAAGGATATGACGTCATCAGTGGGTTCCCTCTATCATTCTGTAGGCATTACCGATTTGCAAAGCCGCAGGATTGTTATAACTGTCTGGTGTTTTGCAATTGCTCTTTGATTGTGCCTTAGGGGAAAAAACAAAAGTGTGAGGATTTCGCAAAATCCATCTCCCGGGATATTTGGACGATCTTGAGATGGAAGGGGAGCATTTAGGAGGGACGCAAGCAAGGGAGACATCCAGAGACAAAGGTAAGAAGAAAGGTCTCATCTAATGAGCCTGAAGCCATTGGAAGCGGAGCGGAGAAAACAGACAGAAGCTGCTGCTTTCTTTTATCCCTCTGAAAATAAGGGATCAGTTTTAAGAGCTTCTTTCTGTCTAGGCAAGGCAAGACCATGCAGCAAGCTGGTGTAATTTATTAGTATCCAAATTATGCAAGATGTTTTAGTTATATGGGACTCTTCTGCAGGCTCGTTGTTTGTGTACGGCTTGAAAACGTGACGTAGTCTTGAAAAAACCAGGAAAGTGGAAATCAGAATAATATTCAACTCTGTATATCAGAACTGGGTTTTAAGCTGTATCACTGACAGGAAGGCATTTGGGGGAGTTGAGAAATGAGGAAGTGAGACAGGGGAGATGGAAGGGATATTTTAAAACAGGAGTGTTTTAAACAAAAATGACAGGCAGCACATTAATTTATTCAAATATTATGTATTTTTAATTTATGCTCTCCATATGGGGTTACAATTCTTTCTTTCTACTGATTCTGTACCACAATGGAAGAACAATTGGCTGATTAGAAAAGCTGAAATATAGGAAAACATTTAAGTAGATTATTTAGTTGCCCAAGGCTCCAGCATGCCAGGAATTGCAGAGATGCAGCTGTTTGAAATCTGCAATTTTTTCTGTTTCCTCTTTTGAAACCTGTCTCAGTTTGCTGCACTATGCTAAAAAGATTCAGGATTGGGAATGGTTCTTGGCATCTGCTTGTTTAATTTCTACACTAAAGGCTTTCCCCCCCCCCCCAAGCCCTATAAATTAAATTCTGCAGGCTGAGTGCTCAACTTGCATTCAGTTTCAACCAGCCCAATGAACATCTTGAGGCCAGATAGCAGCTGCCTTCAGCCACAGATGAATTGAATTTCATAGCTAGTGATAACGTGATGCACTGAGCCACAACCTGGTATATCACATGTCAGCCTGGCATGCAATGTAGCAGTTCACTCTGTTGTGCAGACCCAGAAAATTAGATTGGCCAATCTAAGTTGTGTTACGAAGTGATGCCACACACTGCCTGCCTTCTGATTACTGTAAAAAGAATCCGTCATGTTGAGATGCACTTTCTGTAATTCTGCTTTCTGTTATTTGGATTTATGTTCTCAATGAAGGATTCCTGGTCACAAGATTCTCTGTCTGCCTTGTGCTTTCTACAACTGAAAAACAATATATGGATTTGTAGAAAGATTATGGGAGTGGTTAGAATATTTGTAGCTCAGGGTTGAACTGTGAGGTCCTTGGTGCTCTCTGAGCTGAGTGGTTTTCTTGCAGATGTTTCATTACCTAATTAGATAACATCATCAGTGCAGAATCACAGAATCACACAATTGGAAGGGATCTTGGAGGTTTTCTAATCCAAGCAGAAAATCCTTATACCAGGGGTAGGCAACCTTGACTCTTTTATGACTCTGGACTTCAAATCCCAGAATTCCTGAGCCAGCTATGCAATGCTTTGCTATGCTGGCTCAGGAATTCTGGGAGTTGAAGTCCATGAGTCATAAAAGAGCCAAGGTTGCCCACCCCTGCACTAGACCATTTCAGACAAATGGTTGTCTAGTGTCTTCTTAAAAGCCTCCAGTGTTGGAGCACCCACAACTTCTGGAGGCAAGTTGTTCCACTGATTAATTGTCAAGATATTTCACTTTAGTTTTAGATTCTCTCCTTGATGAGTTTCCATCCATGGCTTCTTGTCCTGCCTTCAGGTGCTTTTTAGACAATAGGTTGATCCCCTCTTCTATGTGGCAGTCCCTTAGATATTGGGACACTGCTATCGGTGCACTGATAATAAAACAAAATGTCATTGATTTTAACGAAATTGGTAATGAAATGTCTGCAAGAAATCCACCAAGCTCAAAGCACCAAGGACTCCACAAGGCCGTGGGAGCTACAACAAGTATAATCCCCAGTGATCTAAGTCAGTAGCCATACTGGCTGGTGTTGTGGAAAGTGCAGCCCATCATATCTGGAGACACCAGGTTGTTTTAGCATTCCTTGCTTATTAAAGAGAGGAGTCAGAGTGCCCTCCTCCCAAATATGCCCCATATTTAGGAAAACTTGGGATTTAGGCTACTGAAAACTGGAGTGGAAGGTTGGAGTGAAAAGGTCCCAGAGTGTCAAGGAAGCAAATGTATCGTAGACACCTGTTTTGGATACAAGATTACTTTCCATGCAAAAAATGGCTCCAGTTAGGACAGGGGTAGGCAACCTTGGCTCGTTTATGACTCATGGACTTCAGCTCCCAGAATTCCTGAGCCAGCTATGCTGGCTCAGGAATTCTAGGAGTTGAAGTCCATGAGTCATAAAAGCCAAGGTTGCCTACCCCTGAGTTAGGAGAAAGTGATATCTGTATACAGCTACTCCTCGACTTTTGACAACAAGGGAGTTAAGTGATTTTTTTGTCCCATTTTACAACCTTTTTTGCAGCAGTTGTTAAACGAATGACTGCAGCTGTTAAGTGAATCATGCGGTCACTAAGCCAATCTGGCTTCCCCCATTGACTTTGCTTGTCAGAAGCCAGCTGAATAGAATAGAATAGAAACTTTACTGTCACTTTAAATGTACACTAATCAGCATACATTAAAATGAAATTTCGTTGCATTCAGCGGTCAAAAAAACCCATTATGGATATTCCCATGCACATACGCATATATGACACAGAGAAACATCGCAGTCCAGTTCGAATGTATAAATATACCTGGCCAAAAAAAAAAAAAAAAAAAAATCCTACAAGACGGATGGCATAAGGAGCAAAGCTGTTACAGAATCTAGTACAGTGGTTCTCAACCTTTTTAATGCCACGACCCCAACCGGTCGTAAGTCGAGGACTACTCAACCAGTTGTAAGTCGAGGACTACTCAACTGGTGCAGCACCGTTTGCAGAATGGGACTTTTGGCGGGCTCAGCAGGGCAGAGACAGCCTGGACAATTCCTATTGGCTTTTGAAAGCCAATAGAATTAGACTCTATTCAAGAGAGTCTATTCTATTGGCTTTCAAAAGTCAATAGAATAAAAGGGAGTAGCACAGCTAAGGAAAAGGGGGAAAAAATGGCGGCCTGCGTTGTTTGGCGACCGCCATGAAATGGTCATTTGACCCCAAATGGGGTCCCGACCCACAGGTTGGGAACCACTGATCTAGTAGCTTTGCTATAAATACTTCAAAACCTCCTCCCAGAGGAAAGTAACAGGAACAGACCGTGAAGTGGGTATGTGGTGTCCCTAACAATGTTTCGAGCTCTAAGCACGTAACACTTATAAGCAGCATCCTGAATAACGGGAAGCGAGCATCCTATAATCTTCTCGGCTGTCCTTACCACCCTCTGTATGGACCATCCATCTGACGCATTGCAACCACCAAACCAAACAGTGATGCAGTTTGTTAAAACACTCTCAGTCGTACCTCTGTAAAAAGTGGCCAGAACAGAAGGAAGAAGATGTGCCGGGAAGGTTACAAATGGGATCACATGACCCCGGGATAGTGCAACTGTCATCAATTCATGCCAGTTGCCAAGCATTCGAACGTTGATCACGTGACCCTGGGGAAGCTGCAGTGTTCACTAAGTGTGAAAACTGATCGTAAGTCACTTCGTTCAGTGCCTTTGTAACCTCACGCGGTCGCTAATTGAGTGGCTGTAAGTTGAGAACTACTTGTACTCTATTTTTTCTATTCTCTGCAGGTGTTGGGATTGGAAGTCTTCTTGAGATGGAAGATCTCCAGATGGAAGCTCCAGAAGGAAGACTAGAGAAGCAGGGCCTAGAAGCCACTCTGAGCCTGGAGCAGAGAGGATTAATGCTGGGAAGTATGGAGAGAGAAGAAACACCAAGAGGGGTCCTTAATGAAGGTGGGAAAGAGCAGGCAGAGCTTGAAGTCCCCGATAGCTATTCGAGAGCTGAGGATTGCCAAAACCAAGCCAAAGTAGAAGACCCGAGGTGGAGAAGCCAGGTGAGAAGACGCCGGATGAAAGAGGTTTCCCAGGATCCTCCAGGTTTCATCAACCTCCTGGGGATCCTGGAACCCCCACCTGCTCTTCCACCCACCGCGCCCCACAGAGTAGTGAACAAGCCCTTCCATTGCACGGAGTGTGGAAAGAGTTTCTCGCAGAGCTCCGTGCTCATCGAGCACCAGAGAATCCACACCGGGGAGAGGCCCTTCGTGTGCAACGTGTGCGGAAAACGATTCTCCCAGAGCTCCACCCTGATGGGCCACCAGAGGATCCACACGGGCGAGAAGCCGTTCGCTTGCCCCGAATGCGGACGGGGCTTCAGCCGCAGCTCCGCTCTGACTGAGCACCAGCGCACCCACACGGGAGAGACCCCCTTCCCCTGCCGGGAATGCGGGAAGGCCTTCAGCCGCACCTCCAACCTGGTGAAGCACTTGCGCACCCACTCGGGTGAGAAGCCGTACAGCTGCGCCCTCTGCGGGAAGCGCTTCTCGCTCAGCTCCAACCTGCTCAAGCACGAGCGCACCCACTCGGGGGAGAAGCCCTTCCCCTGCCCCCTCTGCGGGAAGCGCTTCAAGAAGAAGACCCACCTTGTCTCGCACAACCGCGTCCACACCGGAGAACGGCCCTACCGGTGCGAGGAGTGCGGGAAGTGCTTCTCCCAAAGCTCGTCTCTGATCGAGCACCAGAGGATCCACACCGGGGAGAAGCCCTACAAGTGTCCCCAGTGTGGCCGAGGCTTCTATGTCAACTCCAAACTGGTCAAACACCAGAGAATCCACACGGGGGAGAAGCCCTACGCCTGCTCGGCCTGTGGGAAAACTTTCCGATACAAGCAGCAGTTTCCCCGTCACCTGGCCCACGTCCACCCAGGGGAAGAGCAGGTTTCTGTCCTTAACTTGGGGACCAGTGTTAATATGCTACTCTCCTAGGGTGTGCCCCGGGGCCCGGCGGCTGGCCTTTTAAGTACCAGGGCTCCCGTTCCAGTCAGAGGCAGAATCGTTGCCAAATATGGTTGATCCCTAGGATAGCATCTTTTGTTGAACGGTTAAAGCTGTTTCTGAGACGGTTCCAACTACGTCGAGGTAGTCCTCGATGTATGACCACGATTGGGCCCAAAACCTCTGTCACTAAGCAAGACAGTTGTTAAATGAATCTGGCCCCTTTTAATGACCTTCCTGGCCACAGTTATTAAATGAATCACTGCAGTTTTTAAATTAGTAACATATTTATTAAGTGCATCTGGACTTTTCTTGTCAGAAAGTTTCAACGGGATCACGTGATCCCCGGGACGCTGCAACCGTCATTAATGTGAACCGGTTGCCAAGCATCTGAATTTTGATCATGTGACCTGTGGGGATGCTACAACGGTCGTAATGGTGAAAAACGGTCAGAGGTCACTTTTTTCATGTAACTTCAAATGGTCGGTAAGCACATGGTTGTAAGTCAAGGACCACCCATATTTCTACCTTAGTAAATGTCACTAAATGAATGGGTGGCCCCCTTCATGATTCCACCTGCATCCTGGTTTAAAGGAGGCACTTCCCTAAATTACAGAGTTTTCTTTTGGGGGGGATTTATGCAGTATGTGCCTAAGACAGAGGCCAGGCCGCTTCAGAGAGTTCCCATTATAGCCAATTTACAATAGTGTCAAGAGCTACCAACTTGACATCTTGTTACTGGTAGTCCTCAAAGTTACAACGGTGCCGAATAAGAGATGACCGTTCACAGCATTCCCACGGTCATGTGATTATAACTCGGTTGCTTGGCAACCAGCCTGTATTTAAGATGGTTGCTGTGTCCTGGAGTTGCATGATTGCCATTTGCAACCTTTCCAGCTGGTTTCCGACAAGTAAAGTTAATGGAGGAAGCCAGATTTGCTTAATGACTGCATGAGTTGCATAAAAAGGTTGTAAAATGGGGTGTGGTCATATGATTCACTCAATGACCGCATCAGTTAATAAAAGAAGTTCCAGTCCCAATTGTGGCTGCAAGTCAAGGACTACCTGTATGTTAACTAACACAATGTAAGTATTCTATTCTGCTACTGGATCAAACTTGTTTTAAATGTTACATGAAACCCAAAGTTAATTACTGTGCTTGACTTCGCTTTTTTGTTACCATACAGGTCATGACATAGGTGGGTTTTAGTTTTCCATCTGCTGTGAGAAAAAGTAAAAGGATTTTCTTAGGATCTTATTTTTTTGTTCATACTTTGTCGGGAAAGCATAGTAGGATTTATTTTCTAGAGTTTTTGTTTTTTTCTAATCTGAGATAAAGGTAAAATTGTACTCTGAACTTCTTTTATTGAGCTAATTACAGTATTATCTAGAAAATATTAACCCTTTAAAGAAGTTTCATTAATGTTGACGTTATTCAGATGGCATGTTTATGATAACTACACACACACACACATGCACACACACGCACAAAATCCCACCACAAACTGACTTAAAACTCCATTCTAGTCTTCCAGCAGTTCTTATTCAAAGTATAATTCCTTTCACTGCCGGACTGTAAAATTCTGTCTGAGAGCTGAAACATTTTGACTATTGATTGGATTTTAGAATAATTGTAAAAAAAACCTTACAAATGCCCTTTTATCATTATGGAACAGACCAATCTTTTTATGGCTATTCAGAATCTATAGGATTGCTCACTTTTTCTGCTGATGACTTGTACCAGATCCATTTCAAGCTCTGTGTATCCTTTACTGCAAAAACCATGGGCGGGAGGAACCATCATTAGTGGTGAACCTGTGACGTCTCATGGACTCATCTCAAGAAGTGAGCAATAGACAAGGTGGTGATCTCCAAAAGTCACATATGAGCTTCTCATTAATTAAGTCAATCATCAGATCATTACAAATTTGGGGTTTGCTTGTTTTTTAAGTCAATGTTCTTGAATTAGCTTCAGAACTTCATTCGTAAGAGCCAGGATGAAAACAAAATGAAACCAAATGCTATTCTACAGTTAAATAATTAAGAATCCTACTTAACACACGTAGCTACAACTTAGTCATTTCCACAGAAACTAGTGTTTCAATCATTGAGACTGAATTTCCTGTATCAGGTAACATGTTTGAAATGGGCTGTGGTCTGGTCCTAGTATTATGTGACAACATTGGAATAGACAAGTTTTCAACTTGATTGCTTCATTGTGGCAGTTGCGTGTTTGGATGGGGGAACAATGGTGAAGTCACTCTCCTTTTTGAAACAAAACCAGCTGGAGGAATAAGCACAAGGTAGTATGAACTGTGAGTTTCATGGATTCTCTCGTTAGTTAGGGCAGAAAGAATGCAGGTAGTCCTCAATTTATGATGGGTCACTTAGCAATGGACAAAGAGCCTCCCCTGGGCTGTTTATGACCCAGATCTGAAGTTCTGTTAGGCCAGGGGTAGGCAACCTCGGCTCCTTAATGACTCATGGACTTCAACTCCCAGAATTCCTGAGTCAGCTATGCTGAAGTCTATGAGTCATCAAAGCGTCGAGGTTGCCTACCCCTGTGTTAGGCCCTTCATTGCTGTCACATGATTGCATTTGGGTTGCTCGGCAACTGGACCATATTTACAGCTATTTGCATGGTCCCACGGTTCACATGACCAGGATCTACAGGGGTTTTTTAATGCTAGAAACTGGTGTTTACTTCCAGGTTTCAGCAAAAAACCCTCCCATTGTGGGCAATGGATTCACTTAACAACCAGAGCATTTAATGATTGCGGCATTTGCTTTACAACCGCCGTATCCGCTTAACGACCACCACACAAAAGATCATAAAATTGGTCGCAGTCTTGTGACCTGTTTAACAACCAGCAGGACTTACAGTCATAAGTCGAGGACTTTCTATAATAGAACAAAAGCCTTGAAATTCCTAGTGTTCCTGGGATAGGACAATAATTGTAGAATACCCTGGCATGTTCGGTGTTGCACCCACTTCTGTCCCAGGTATTTTGCTAGATTAAATATATGTGCTTCAGTGCGCAAAAAGTCCCTATAATCATTTCTGCCTGTTGTCTCACTGCTGTGTTATGTCTCCATTTCTCACTCGGACGTTATAAAGAATCACTTTGCTAAAAATAACAACTTTCCAATCAGTTGCTAAAATAATTTAGTCATAGACATAATGTACAAGCCTGTTGAATTTCACTTCCAGATAATTAACAGGGTGCACAAACATAAATCCTATATCAGTTACAGACTGGGTCTGTACTGGAGTAACTATATCAGCTCACTAAAGCAGGGCTTTTCAACCAGTGGTACGGGTACCACCTGTGGTACATTGGCACCTGGCAGGTGGTACGCGACCATCCTACACCCTAGCGGGGAAGGGAATGAGCTGAACCGGTGGCAGCACCGCACAAGCCTGAGCGAGAGATGGCTGGAGCTTAGGGCTGTCAGGGCTCAGCGGAAGCGCCAGGATCAGTGCCGCTTTCCAGCTGATCGGCGCTTCTTTGGGGCTGTCAGGGCTCAGTGGAAGCACCAGGATCAGCACCAGGCTCCAGCTGGAACTCGGCACTGATCCTGACACTTCTGCTGAGCCCAGAAGAAGCACCGATCAGCTGGAATGTTGCAGCATCTCCAGGGTCTTGTGATTTACATTCAGATGCTTGGCAACTGATTGATATTTGTGATGGTCACAATGTCCCAGGGTCATGTGAAGTGACCAAAACCTGCTGCAACCACCCAGCAGACAGGAATAAAAACCAAACACCCCCCCACCCCACCCTCACTGCCAATCCTCAACAGAAATGCTCACAACAATGAAAACCTTGGACAGGAGGAAGAGTGCCGCCAGGCAGGCAGGCAGGTGTCTTGCTCGGCTGTGGCTTGGGGGGCACTTTTTTCAGTACCACTGTAACTTCAAACAGTCACTAAGCGAATTGTTGTAAGTCAAGCACTACCTGTACTTTATCACTCTTTTCCTTTTTTTTTTTTTTGGTCATCAAGTTTTTGACACCTTGCTAGGCGGCTGGTGGTACTCAGATGTTGCCATATCCTAAAAGTGGTACAATGGGTGAAAAGGTTGAAAAGCCCTGCACTAAAGTCATGGTTACAAGGAAATACAGGCAGTCCTCGACTTACGACAACAACTGACCCCAAAATTTCCATTGCTAAGCAAGGCAGTCGTTAAGTGAGTTTTGCCCCAATTCATGATCTTTCTTACCACCGTTGTTAAGTGAATCACGGCAGTTGTTAAGTTAGTAATATAATTGTTAGGTGAATCTGGCTTCTCCATTGATTTTGCTTGTCAAAAGGTCACGAGGTGATCACATGACCCTGGGACACTGCAACAGTCATAAACACAGGCCAGTTACCAAATGTCTGAATTTTAATCACATGATTATGGGAATGTTGTAGTGGTTGTAAGTGTGAAAAAAAGATCATCACTCACTTTTTTTTTCAGTGTTGTAACTTTGAACAGTCGCTAAATGAATTGTTGTAAGTTGAGAACTACCTGTAGATATTTTTGGCTGGGTTCAAAGCCTTAAATAATTCCTACCGCATTCTACTGATTCATGACTTATGTCACATATTGCATAATTCCGAGAAATCATTCATCCACTTTTTCTATGTTAATCCATCCTCCTCCAATTTTTAAGAAAATGTTGCTACCAGCAGGGTCAAAACAGTTAAGTTGCTGTAACCCAGTTATCCCAAAACCGTAAATTTAGGAAAATACTTTTTTTCCCCATTCAGTTAGTACTGATTCTCAGAGACTGGTCAATTCCCTACAGTTTTCTTGGCGAGGGTTTTTCAGAAATGATTTGCCATTGCCTCCTTCCTAGGGTTGAGAAAAGGTGACTGGCCCAAGATCATCCAGCTGGCTTTGTGCCTAAGGTGAGAGCCATGGAACTAGAACTCAATCTCATGGTTTCTATTGGATGCTTTCATTACAACACCAAACTGGCACTCATGGGAATATGATACCAAACAACGGGATGTTAGAATATAAGATAAAGCAATTCCTGCAACGAATTTGAGGAGCAATGTGAAATTTTTAATTAATAAAAAAGTTGGAAGGGACCTTGGAGGTCATCTAGTCCAACACCCTGCTCAGGGAGGAAACCCTACACCATTTCGGACAAATGGCTGTCCAGTCTCTTCTTAAAAACTTCCAGTGTTGGAGCATTTACTGCTTCTGGAGGCAGGCTGTTCCAAACATTGCTTTACTTACTATGATAGCACTTAGCTTAAAACTCAAAAAATAGGGCATTAAAAATTGTCTGAAATCAAAGAGTATA